TGACACTGCTCAAAGATTGTTAGGTCATTCAGCTGAGTCTATAATAGAACAAAATGATGAGGTTATTTGTTAAATAATTGTATATATTATGCATTATTTACATTTTCTGAAATAATATTAATCTATTTATTATAATGCTGCGCATGATTTACCAAGAGAGCTCCCTGATGGCTTGACAAAGCTCCTAACCATGATGATGTTTTTCAAAATAACAGTTTCAGAAGAGCATATAAAAGGAAGCCAGTCTCCGTATGTAGTAGAACTATGGTCTCAAGATGTCGACATTATGACTGAGTGAGATTCTCGATCAGATATAATATATAGGATAAATTTTACAGACTTCTCAAGCTCACTTATCTGATGGTTTAGTTAAATTAAGGCGTCAACAATGTTTTATATTTCAGCAACCGTTGATGCTTACGAGTTCTGACGAACTTGAGAATCCATCGTCTGGATCTTCACTCACTCCTTCATCTAAGAAGCTAATTAAGAGTCCCGACTATTTTGATGAAGGTGGAAGATCTGTTAACAAAAAGCGACCTAAGCAAGAGATCCTGATGAAGTTATGAAGAAGCAAGAAATCGTAATGAACTTATTGCATAAATACATTGCTGGTGATTGATTATTGCTTTTGATCTTTTTTTTTTTCGTCAAACTTTGCATATTATTAATTTGAATCCAAAAAGTCTGAATACAGAGTGTTTGTCAACCAGAAAGGAGGATAAATACAATCCGAATAAAAAACATTATTTGGAGGACCATTTTTAGCTAACAAATGTGCTGCCATATTAGCTTCACGCTTTGTATGAGAAGTGCTTGAGCAATTGAATTTTGATAGCCAATGTTTGATGTCAAGGATTAAATTTGCTATCAAAATATCTTTTGATGATCCTGTTAAGTTATCCTGCAAAACCTTGCAATCTCCTTCGAAACAAATTGAATCAAAACCAAGACTCCATGATAATTGAATGGCATGTAGCATTGCTTTTCCTTCTGCTTCAAGGCTTGATGAAGCTTGTTGAAGTATTGAAGCACCCCAAAATTTTGGAAATCCATGATGATCACGTATTATCCATCCGCCTACGGTCTGACTTGATTGAAAATTATACGCAGCGTCAAAGTTACATTTAACAGAACCGATTGAAGGTCTGCGCCATGAACTCCGTACAACATGAGAAGATGCTCGAGTATTATTTTGGTGACCTCTGTTTTGTCCATCTGGGTTTAAAGCTTCTAACCACTCCGCGACATCTGCGTTAGCGTAACCTAAATCCCTTTTTGGCTTAACCCTTCGTTTGTTAAATATTATGTCGTTCCTAGCTTTCCAAATCCTCCACATTAACCAAAATGCAACAATTTTTAATGTTCTGTAAGTTCTTGGAGAGATTTGAAATCTAAGATCTTCTTAATGTTATCTTCGAGATTACTTGAAAAGGAAGGAACAGAAAAAGGAAGATTAGATATTCTCCAGGTCGAGACAGAAATCGGGCATGTAAAAAGGAGATGGTTTATTGTTTCAGCTGCAGAGGAACACCGCTGACACGTCTCTTCCACACAGATACCTCTAGAAATTAAACGTGTGTTTGTACCAAGGGATCCAGATAGCACTCTCCAAATAAAATGCTTGATTTTTGGCATAATGTTAAGATTCCACACTCGCTTTTTTAGGAGAGGATCTCCATTAGGAATTGGTATTGGCGCACCTGCAGTTTCCAGATTCTGGTGATGGCGAGAGAACCAGTAGCCAGATTTGACTGTGTATGAACCGTTTTTGGAAAAATCCCAATTCAACTCATCTTTTGCAGGGATTTGACTGATATATAAAGAACGGGCTAACTCCTTATCTTCATTTGAAAGCAGAGCATTTAACTTATCTTCATTCCATCTTCTTCCTGACCCTATTGATTGAAAAAGCTCGGAAACCGTTTCATTATTATCTCCGTTAATTGGAATAACAGGTCTAGGAGGATTAGTTGGAAGCCAGTTGTCTTTAAAAATGCGTGTTGAACAGCCATCTCCAATAATTGATCTGGAACCTTTCTTAATCAATGCAATGCCCTGTAATAGTGACGTCCAACCGTAGGAATGATAAGGACGTGGTTTGGCATCAAAGAGATGAATATCCTTGAAATATCTTGCCTTATATAATCTTGAAAACAAACAATGAGTATTTTTGAGAAGCCTCCAAGCTTGTTTTGCTAACAGAGCATCATTGAATTTTGATAGTTCACGAAATCCCAATCCACCATCTTTTTTGGAATATTGTAATCTCTTCCAGGCCACCCACGGAATACCTCGTTCTTGTGGACTCTTTTCCCACCAAAACCTCATCAAAATACCTTCAATGTCCGAAGTTACCTGTTGTGGTAGCTTAAAACAAGACATGGAGTATACAGGCATCAAAAATGCAACTGACTTAATGAGCACTTCTTTTCCGGCTGGCGATAGTAGTCTTGCACTCCAATTCGATGTTTGTTCTTTAACTCTGTTAATTACATTGTTAAACATGTCCTTCTTTTTGCGGCCAAACTGTTCTGGCAAACCAAGATATTTACCCCCACCTCCATGGTTAGAAATCCCAAGAATTCGTTTCAATCTTTCTTGCTTGTCACCGGGAATTCGCGAGCCAAAGGTAATCATTGATTTGTCCTGGTTTATTTTTTGTCCTGAGCATTGTTCATATACTTCGAAGACATGCTTTAATGCTGCATAGTTTTTACCATTTGCTATACAAAAGAATAGCGAGTCATCCGCAAAGAGAAGATGAGTTATAGAGGGTACACCATTCCCACATTTGATGCCGTTAATTTGTTTTTTTTTGGACTTTGACATCAATCAAATGGCTCAGCACATCCGCACATAAGATGAAGACATAAGGTGATAATGGATCCCCTTGACGTAATCCTCTTTCCGGTGTAATGTGACCTTGGGGATTCCCATTAATCAAAACCGAATAACTGACAGAACAAACCATTGTCATTATCCAGCGAATCCAAATTTCAGAGAAACCAAAAGCACGCAATGTTTCTTCTAGAAAATGCCATTCCACGCGATCATAAGCCTTACTTATATCAGTTTTATGTCTGCGAAACTCGTTTTCTAGATTTTAATGAGTGCATTAGCTCATGTGCTATCAGTACATTATCAGAGATTAATCTTCCAGGAATAAAAGCTGCCTGAGATTCCGAAACTATCTGGTCTAAGGATGGTTTAAGACGTTTAACCAGAAGTTTTGAAATTATTTTGTAGAGAACATTGCACAGAGCAATAGGTCTATAATCTGATAATGTATTTGGTTTTTTCACCTTTGGAATCATACAGATGTTAGTATGATTTATACCCAATTGGAATGTGGATGTCTGAAAGAAGGTTTTCACTTCACGAATCACATCAGTCCCAACAATGTCCCATCATTGTTGATAAAAACGTGCTGTTAGTCCGTCAGGTCCAGGAGCTTTGTCTGCGCCAATACTACATACAGCCTCATAAATCTCTTCATTTGTGAAGTCCTTAGTGATTTCTCTATTAATTTCCTCAGTGACAGAAGGTTTAAACTCAGAGAAGATGCTTGGTAAAAACGGTTTTTTATCACTTGTCTAGACTTTACGGAAATAGTCTTCAGCATGTAGTCCTACTTCGTGATCTCCTTGATAAATCTTTCCAGAAGAATCCTTTATAGAATGAATATGATTCCTTGAAAACCTTGATTTGGTACAGGCATGGTAAAACTGAGTATTGCGGTCTCCAGCTGTTAACCACGATACTCTGCTTTTTAAAAAACAGTATGATTCTTCATCACGATAAGCTTTAACCAGATCTTGTCGAAGACGGAGAATAGAAACTGAAGAAGAACCAGGAGAAAGCTGAGCAAGTTCCAATGCAATCTGTAATTCATCAATTCTTTTGGCGGAGTTAAATTTGGAGGCTCTTCGACATTGCGCCATGGATTTACGGCATTCGCGTATTCTGTCTAGAATTGGCGAACAGTGACTTAATTGGGGTGAATTCCAGCCATTTTTAACATAGTCTTTAAACTCTTTGATTTGGAGGAGGCGTTTATCGAATCTAAATTGTTTCTTTGGATGTTCTTCAACAAACGAGATTGTGGTGAGGACAGGGCGGTGGTCGGAGCCGTAGAGTTGTAAAAACTCTGCCTCAGATGCAGGAAATTTAGCTAACCATTCCGAGTTTGTAATGACGCGATCGAGACAACATTGGACAAGATGTTTTCCCCTTTTTCCCACCCATGAAAATCGATTACCCTTGTAACGAAGATCCTTGAAATCACACGAACTATACATATTGCAGAAATCCTGAAAGCTCCGTTCATCGCGCATCGGGCCACCACTTTTTTCCTCATTAGATAAGATTTCATTGAAATCGCCAATGAGGAGCCAAGGTCCACTACGTGATCGGTGCAATCTCTCAATCCGTTCCCATAGTTCATGACGTTTAGTGTGATTTGGGTCGCCATATACACAAGACAAGTAATAATCCATGCCATTATATTCCACATACACATCAATCATTCTTGCAGACTGATACAACTGTGTTATTCCTACATGTTTTTTCCATAATAAATCTATTCCTCCATTTCTACCTACAGGAGGAACCGATATTACATAATCAAATCCTAGAGAAACACAAACATCCCTTACAACATTACAATTATTAAGAGTTTCTACTAAGAATAATAAGTCGGGAGAATACAAACGCTTAAATTCTCTCAATCTTTCTTCAGTGAGTTGTGCTTGTATACCCCGACAGTTCTAGGAAAGGACTCTCATATTTACTGTGGGGGTACCGGGCCCCCCGCGCCTCTGTCAATTGGAGAAGTTGCAGAGCAAGAACCAGTAGATTCACATGGCTCTTCCTTGTGCGGACTCAGGACCATCCGCTCTGCAACAATGGGAAGTGGAGTATCGAGAATGACAAGTGATCCCTTCTTCTTCTTGCAAACCTTTGTCTCGTCTTCATGGTTAACATAGGCGTTGAACACGTCACTCCTCCTCTGTGCATTTCCCTTTAGCCCTTCTGAGTTTCTGATATTGTTCTTCCTCAACTTGTCTACGGAAGTTGTCTAAACCCGCAGACATATCTGACAATGGTAAACTTGTCTCGTGATTAACAGCAGTTTCGGTGATACCTGGAATCACAACATTCATATCGGCATAGAGATCCGATGTGTTGATGTCAGAGTGGTTATTGTCAAAGTGTCTGAGCATTTCTTCAACCTCTGCTCGCTTTCTTTTCCCAAAACCAGGAGAAGCACCATCCATAGCCCTTGCCTTCCGGTAAGTGGAATGTTCTGCAGTCATATCGGTATCAATCTCAACCGACGAGCTCCTTGGAGAGTCGCGAGTACTCGAAGACGGTCCAGCAACCGCTTGATCGATGTTGATATCAGCAGGATCAAAAGCACCATGGTTCTGATCATCATCACCGTCATTGTCATCATCGTCACCATCATTAGCGCCATGATCATCACCATTGATTTCCAAAGGACATTCCTTTTTCTCATGGGTTAACAGCCCACAAGTCACACAGAAGTTCCGAAGCCTCTCATTATGAAACCGGATAACAGTATTTTCGCCAAGAGCAAATTGAAACGTCTTCTGGAACTTGAGTGGATTACCGATGTTCCAATTAATTTGGACCCAAACACAATCCGTTAGATTGGCGTCTTCGTTGAAATCAGAGTCAACAACTTGCCCGAGTTTATCCCCGATGAAGTCAACCATTTCACGATTAAGGAATTGGGCAGGGATTCCCCTAATCTGGACCCAGAAAGTGATAATCTTCATTTCTGCTTCAGAGATGTTGGGATACCAATGCCTAGTAACCAACATCCATTCGCTGAAAGACCATGGTCCACGCCGGAGAACCATTTGAAGCGCCTCTTCGGATTTGAACACAAACTGAAAGCTTGACGGAGAGACGACGTGACCAACCACTTGGGAACCTAATCCCCAAAGTCTGGGCATTTGATTGATAAGAGCCCTCATGTTTTGTTTCCTCGGATTGAGTAATACACCCACAATCGCGAACCGGTTTGATTCTGCAGCCTGAGCACATACGGCCTGAGGGAGAGCAATTGGATCATCATCAACCCCCAGAGAAATGTCTTGCATCTTTCGGTGAATGTTGTTAGACATTGCGAATTGGGAAAAACAGGAAAAGAGAGTAGAATGAAATAGAGGCCAATTTATAGAAGAAAGATCCCATGGCGGTTTATGAATGTCGAAGTAACTGATTGTATAACCGCCAGAGAACTGTCTCAACGGACAAAAACCGGCAGGAAAACCGTCGGTAACCGCCGGACAAGATTTTTCTGAGAAGATAAAGTAACCGTATTCGAGATCGCCTTTTAGATCGTCCAGAGAGAGAAAGAGCGACATTTTTTTCTAATTCATTTTATAACAAATTTGTCCAATGGGTGGATAACGTTTGAACTCTATTTGTTATTTTTTGCGGTATTTGTGGAACTTTTTTGGCATATTTTTATTTAATAGTGGAACTTGAATGTTGCCCTAGAATTTTTTTTTTAAATCCAATTCTTTTAGATTTAAATTTGTGATTTAATTTTTTTTGGGTTAAACCAACTGTCATAAATTTACACAAGAGTTTCAATTAAGACGACCTTAAAACCATAACCTTTTTACTCCATCACATATAAAACTATTCATTTCCTTATTATCTTTCATCTTCAATCTTAACAAAAAATTAAAACAAAGAATGTCTCCTTGTGAAAGAGTTTCCGATCTTCAGAAGACAAACGGCGGATATCGTATTTGTGTACAGATACTAAGAGATTATTATGATTATACTCTCTTCGATCGACCGAATCGGATGTTAGTTCTTGCGGATGAATTTGTAAGTTTTGGAGGTTTGAAAAGATTAACATATATATGTTTTAGGAATGTATTTGTTAATTATTTGTTTTTATAAACCGTGTAGGGCAATCACATCCTGTCTACTATTCAATATGATATAATGGCGAAATTCGAGTATGAATTGGTTGAAGGAGATTGAGTTTTTCTTGGTAATTTTGAAGTTACTGACAGAGTGATTCGTCCAAGTATATCATCAAACAACTATCATATACATTTCCTCGAGGAGACCATTGTTGAGAAAACCGATCCAAAGTCTTCCAAAGAAATATACTCTTTTTGTGCATTCATAAATATTTTATATAGATTTATTCATACAGATAGATATCTTGGTATCTTTGTTACAACTTTTTATTTTAAATCGTTTATCTAAGGAACTCCAACATGAAATTAAAGGCAGTCCTTTATTTTTGTAGTTGATATTCTCGGTGTTGTCACATTTGTTCAGAAACTTCAGTTAGGAGTTCCTATGTCAGATACATCGGACACACCCACGCAACGTCCACTTATTCGTTTTAAAATTCAAGATTTCAGGTCTGTACAACTTATCCTCAAAGTATATTAATAATGTTATAAATTATTTAAATATACAGTGGAGAATCTTTGAAATGTATTGCTTGAGATAACTTGGCAAGAAAATTTGAAAAACTTTGGAGGAATTGTGAAAGGTCTTCTACACATATTATTGTATTGCGATTTTTTTCTTTTTCACTAGATGCAGAAGTAACTAAATAGTAACTACCTCATTATTTGATATTGTTAATTAATTACAAGTTTTACATATATATTTTTTCTATATACTGAGTATGTCTATGTATTTAGATGAATGGATATTTGAATCGGAAAGATTCATATCTGACATTCTCGAGGATCCTCCTACCCCAGAAGTGGAAAGAGCAAGGTTGAGGTATGTTTATTCCATCTTTGATATTGTATCCTATATTTTGATATTTATAAATATATATATATATTTATATATATGTATAATGATCAAAAATCCTAATATTATTTCAGGTTTGCAACTTCAACTGATTTTACTCCGGTCCACGATGAATATGAAGACCAGTCTCAGTAAAAGAGATTATTGTTTCCTATGTCTTATTTTTATAGTGTTAAACTTGGAAATCTTAACTTCTATATTATTCTGATTGAGATAACTTATCCAATGACAATATATATATATATTTTTAAAACAATTTTATTGTATTAGTATTTTTTCATGAATCGTTCTCTATTTGTTTTTTTTTTAAACTATAATATTCAAAATTTGGATGTTCCGTGATATGTGTCTGTATTAAAAAATAGAGTATATAAATTCCGGTATTATATTCTCATTAATTATTTGTAATTAATGAAATGAAGTAATTGACTTAATTAAAGAGAAATAGTCAGTACAAGATATGATATTTTTCTACCATCTTTACATATTTTTCTATATATATTTAATCAATATAAAAGTCAAATATACCTATGAATTGAATGTAACCAATTTGGTTTGTTCGTAAGTCACTTGGTGCAATAAATGTCAAAGGTTGCAATTTATTCTAATTTAAAAAAACGATACAACCTTTCAAACCTTATACTTGCTTTGCTATACATATAAAGGACCAAGTAAAATAACGTCTCGCCATCTTAGCTAAAAAAAACCTAGTCCCAAAACAACCACTTTTCTCAAACATGCCTCGCTATTGTATCTTTGAGTATCTTTCTCCCACAAAATCTGACTCCAGAATTCTTATAAAAGTTCTACGAGTTTGGGAACACTTCAATTACGGTAATCAACGTCAGGAATTGCCTCTTATCCTCGGTGACAAAAATGTAAGTTCATCTTTTTGAAGATTTTTTTATTCTGTTGCATGTTATGGACATTTAAACATATGAATCTCTGAAATGATTACTTGGTTCACGAATTTAGGATTACAAAATAGAGGCATCAATAGACCAGGATCTTATTTCTTCGCTCGGTCCAAAGTTTAAAGAAGGAGAATGAAATTATGTCAAATTCTTCAACGTTGTCAATGTGTTCGGATCTTTCAGAAATACTATAAACTACCACTTCATCAACATGAATGCTGATACTGTTGTAGACAAGACCTTTCAAGTCAATCCTAAACATATGATGGATTTTATGCCATTTGATGCCATTATCCGAGGGAATTTCCCTACTGAGTATTCTATCGGTTAGGCTTCTCACCTTTATTCAATTAAAAAATTATTATAAATAATTAAATTTTTTCTTTGTAGACTTGATCGGCATAATCATCTATGTTGATGATGACCTAAGTACTGACATTGATGACTCCTACGAGATGATTTTTGGACCTTCTCACAAATTGGACATTCAGATAAGGGACATGAAGTAAGATGTTTATATTATCATCGATATATGTATAGGCCAATAATTTATCTTATGTTGTACATATGTATTTTTGTTAATGTTGTTGTAATATAATTGTTTGGTTTAGTTATGTTGATATGGACATCGAACTCATTGGAAAGACTGCTCTGAAGTAAGATGTTTATATTATCATCTATATATGTATAGGCCAATAATTTATCTTATGTTGTACATATGTATTTTTGTTAATGTTATTGTAATATAATTGTTTGGTTTAGTTATGTTGATATGGACATCGAACTCATTGGAAAGACTGCTCTGGATTTCTGGAAGAAGTGGGAAGACATAGATACTTATGAAATATTCTTGATTTTGCGGATGTTTCGTCTGACCTATGATTCTGAAGGTTAGTAATTAAATTTTATAATCGAGTGGAAACATTCATTTTCACTTTGTTAATATGATAATTTGACTTCTAACAAGTGTACACTTATATTTTAAAATCCTACAGGGAGATATCGCATAAGGAATGCTGGAGACCATTCTGAAATACTTTTCAATCTTCACATCAAAGAGGTTTCTGATTTTCTTGAGTGGTAATTTTTTTAATTGGTATTAATATATAATATGTTTTATGGTTTATTTTAATCTTTTTTACAATTGTTAACTTGAAATTATTTTTGGTCAGACTTCCTTTTACCGATATACATGGAGATCCTAGGTGGCCATAAGTTTAATCCCTCTTATGTACTTATATTTTTCCGTAACCGTTAAACATTCCCATTATGTAATATTTTCCCACAAAATTGGAATGGATTTGAACATACTTTCGTATATTAGTAATGAAATATTTAGTATTTATTTATGGTAATGTATAATTGCCAATTTACTTATGTCCTTTAATATCATTGTATTTAATGTTTATATATTTTACATATATATATGTATTGTTTTGGATATAATATATATATATATATATATCCATTTGATTTTAGAAATGTTACTTCCTTTATAGACATTTTCTTCCATCGAATATTGCACATTTCTATAATAATAAGATATTGCCAAATTATACTACCACAATATAGTAACGGCAATTTTTTATATTATGCCAATTTTAGTACCATAACAATTTATGTAAGTAGACTTGGACATTTATATTTATTGCGAACTTTTATGAATTTCCTTATTTATAATTATGCCAAACGATGCAACTATAACGCTTCTTATAGACAATTTCATCCAATGTTCACTATTGATCTATTAACAACTTTACGTGTAAGAGTAAATTGAAATAATTCCGATTGACGTTTTTATTTCAGTGCTGACAACTGACGTTAAGCTTTTCTCATAACATTTAGAGTTGACTGTAAAATATTATATAAATTATCGATGTTTTGATGTTTGTGGATTATAATCAATGTAGCAGATGATCTTATAATCTTACGAATCAATACACGCATACGAGAAAGTGATTGGGAAAATAATTCATTTTTGTTTGAATAAAGATAATACAACTTATTGTAGCAAACAAACTTTGATAATTCCAATAAACAGAGATAATTAAGGTTAAAAAAAAATAAAAAAAAATAAACAGAGATAATTTTAGCTAGACTCCAAAGTTTCTCCTTCCAAGTTTATTCTTATGTGCCTATAAGATTCAAAAACATATAATGTTGTTAACTTCAAATATATTAGTTAAACAAATCAAAGTATTAATGGAATATTAACAGCTTACACACTCCGATGTATCTAGGTAACGGATCTCTGTCTTAACGAAGCCGCATTCTATACATTTTAAACCTATCTCCAGATCTAGATAGAGAGATCATGTTTTCCTTTCTTGCAACGTTCCTTTGGGTCATCAGTCGATATTTCTTCATCAGGCTGCAGATATTACATATTGATATAAACATTCAAGTACAGA